CGAGTGCGTACTTTCGTATGTGTAAACATTGGACTGCGGTTACTATTCGCTTTTTTGGTCACCATTTTCAATTGCTTTCTTTATTTTCTTTATTTAATATTCCAAATTTTTTATTAATTTTTCATTCCTATGTTCTTTTTATTTAAAAAAAAAAAAAAAAAAAAAAACCTATAGATTACTTAGATTTCTCATGCAATTTTGATTTCAAACGTAAATAGTTTATATATAAATTTTTTTTTTCTTTTTAATCATTATATAGATACGTAATTAAATTAATATAAGTAAGTTTTAACAATTTTCATACTGCTTTGTTCGATATCTACTGAAACCCAGTTGACTGAATATGTTTGATTACAAGTGCTTAATTCACAAATATGTTTTTGTGTGTGAGGAGTTTTTGCATGCACGGTATCATAAATAACATTTTTCTTTCAGGAAACAAACGAGCATTGGCTCATCGAATTGCATGTGATGTGTCGTAGTAACCCTGTTGTATCAATTGGTTTGTGTTTTTATTATTCCAGCGAATTCTCGTGGCAAGGATGTCAAGACAACGGAGGAGATGCGTAAGCTCATTGAAAGGTTAGTACCTTGTGCTAACGACTAATTGCCAAAGCAGCCTACTTTTTTTTAGTATATTTCTATGATAAAAATAATAGAAAAATCCTTATCATTATGAACTTAAATCTTAATTACTAAGGTAAACTACAGTAATGGATCGATTCCAATTAATAACTATGCATATAATACGTTAATATCATACAACCGTTTATAATTTTAAAAGTTTTTCGGTAAAAGTCAAAATTATAATTAAAAATTATCAATATGAATGTATACACACATGTATACACAAAAGATAAATTGATATAATAAATTAATAAAATTAATTTACAATGAGCAATTTTAATTATTTCATTTGATGGACCTGTTTACATATTTAATACTTTTATTGCTCACAAACATATCGGGATATTTATATATTTAAAATTATATTAATTATCAAGTGATGTAATTCTACATTACTTAATCCCAATAGAATACAACTATATATTTTAATACTGTAAGATCATTTATTAATTCACAGTAATATTAAGAGTTTTGAAATACGATATGTGCAATTATAACTATTTCAATACATAATTGAGTTTGGCAAATATTTACCTCTGTAGTTAAGAATTAAATAACTAACGACGCTCAGGTCGTCAAATTCACGTTAATGGATTTAAACTTTTGCCGATGGGAATATAATCAAATAGAAAATAGTGAAAATGTAATATTAATATTTATTTTATATTAAATTCTAATTTCGAAAATAAAATCTATTAAACGGAGTACATAAATTAATAGAAAATATAACAACTACAAATAAATCATTTTTTTTCTTCAAAATTTTGTAAACGGCTTATACATATAATAAATATGAAATAAAGCGTTTCGCATACTAAAAATCATCTATCATGAACAAACTTTGGATTTGAGTATTACAACAATTATTATATTTTTCATTATTAAATTTAATTCGTAATTAGTTCTTTCAATTCTCTTAGATCATTAAATTACGAAAGAAATGGCTTGTGATCGTCAAGCAGAAACATAAAGTATTCACAAAATTATTTTTTTTACATGTGATGATCTTACTTGTATATACAAAATAAATCATACGTAAATTGACTTCAGTTATATTGAGTATCAACAATGTGTCATTTTACAATAAAACTGTCACTTTTAACAAAGATATCATTATCAAATCAAATGTATTTCTTTCTCATCGAAATTTGAATATACTTTAACACATCGAAACAATAGAATATATATTTTAAAAAATATCAAAGATGACAAATAACCAAATAATTTAATGACTATACACGCATATTACAAAATTTTAAACAATTGTATTTTATCGACAATAATTACATATTATTCAAAATTAAACGGTAAATAATATACTTCATAACTATATACATTCACTTCTTATTGCGTTAATTGTTATTAAATGCGTAATATTATTTTACTTGTATTAGCCGTTAATAAGTGAAATATATACGCGTTTCATCAATTTCAATAAAAACAATTTACATTAATCCATTGATATTAATTAAATTATGTAATAGAAATTCAATGATTGAATTAAAATTTCACCGTACTAAATAATTTATGTCGCTAAATCCATCAAGGATTGAATTTCTCATAATATAACATGAATTTTTAATATCTATTATTTTATTAATATTATACTTATTATTAAGAATTATATAAATATTTATTATTCAATATATCATTCGATTACAGAAGTATATAAGTGTATATTACTTTTTCAATATTCAGTATTTGCCATCATGTTTAAGTAAAGTTTCGATTTAAACAATAAAAATTGTAGTTAATGGTATACCGACGAGTAACAATGATGTAATTAAAATATAAATCATTATTTGTTGTATAGATCTTTTAATTTATACATAAAATTCACGTGTAAAATGCTGGATTAGAAGCCGAAAAACAATTCGTGTTAAGTGAATTATAAATCTCATTTATTAAATGATATTATTTGTATAAGAATATAAAAATCATTTGTCTCAAGAAAAAAATTTGATTAATTTATATATGTTATCGAAAGCTAAAAATTTAATTAACTTTGCATTCAATGAAGTAAACAAATATACTTTTTCAAGTAGCCGAAGAATAATCAAAATCATTTATTTATTTATTTATTTATTTATTTAATAAAATCTATTTTCAAATAAATATAATTAATATTATTAGGTAATAATAGTCAAGCTGTCATATAAAATGCTTTTCATTAATTCTGTCAAATCGTCGTAAAAATTAACATAATTTCTCTTCATCGTGAAATAAAAAATAATTGCTCTGATAAGATCAATGCAAATTTTGATTTGTTGAAAGTTATTGTCGAGTTAAAAATAATAATTACTTATTTTCAAGTATTTACAAACTTGCATTAAATTATATAAAAAATATGATTTAGTAACTCATCGGCAAAAGACTGTATTGCTAATTTAAATAAGAAAAAAATGACCATTATAAAATCAACCAAGAAGTTCCTTGGATTATTTTAACGAATTATAGTGAACTTAAAGAAGAACGATAAATGAATCTTTTAGTACAACGAAAAAACAAAAAGTCACATATAATGAGCTTGCTTGCATCACAAAGTGGACAAGAATTTCTGGATTTTAATTGTGATTAATACCGATTAACATAATATAACAATAAGATAAATAACAATAAGAAATGTTTGTTTTTGTAACTAACATAATTATAACGTATGATACGTTTATAACATGCTAATTTGGTAAAAATTTTCATTGACATCAACAAAAAATAATTTTATCGTTGCAACAACAATGGATATTGTTGTTTCGTTGAGCTAAATGAATTTTGCACATAGTAAGAAAATCACGTTCCTAGCGTTTCTCTCATCTCATGATTCATTTTCACTGCAAATTCACGTAAGTCATTCTGTCGTTTAATAATCAGACTGCATAATTCATAGAATTCACGCATTTAAGAGTCTAATTATGTTTTATTTAATTTTCTTTCATTATTAGCATGCTGCTTAAAGCCAATTATTATCAATTACTTACCTGCATCATTTATCACGTTTTTTTTTTTTTATGATTTTTATTTGTTTTACTCTTTACGTAAGAGTCGTAAATAAAATGCATGTAAGCATTATAAACGGTACTTATCATCTGGTCACCTTTTATTCTTCATCATATATATATATATATATATATATATAGAAAAAAATAAAGAAAATAGAACACCGATGAAAAACCTATTTCATTACGGGGAAGAAAGGGAGAAAGCGAAAGAGAAGAATAAAGTATAGAGAGAGAGAGAGAGAGAGAGAGAGAGAGAGAGAAAGAGAAGAACAAAGGGTAGAGAGTGGGGGAGAGAGAGAGAAAGAGAGAAAGGGAAGAACAAAGGATAGAGAGTGGGAGAGAGAGAGAGAGAGAGAGAGAGGAACACAAATATAGATGTTTAGGCAAGCGATGATAAATATCAAAGGCATTTACTAATAAAAATCGTCTGTGTGCTGTTTTTTTTATCCACAGAAACGAAGCCGCCAAGCAAAACAACTGCTCCTTCGGCAACCACGCAGGACTCCTCACATCCTACGATACTGTGGCAGTGTAATCTGTAAGCTCCTCGACTATAATGGATCGACGACGTTCATTTTTCTCAACCGGACTGTCCTTAACTGCCAATTTTTCCACTTTTTATCAACGTGTTGTTAGCCCATTCTTCTTTACGGTAAAACGTATTACGGCGGACCGAGCTAATTGCGTCGACGCATATTATCCTCGTTTATATTAAATGTAATGTATTGAATCCGGGTAAGGAATAACTCATTCGTTATGGTAGAAACGAAATAAGAGTGTATGAGACTAGGTAGGAGGAGGGGAGAAACAGAACGATGGTAACATCCCAGATAATCGACGAGTCTCGAATTCTATGTGACTTGGAGTGTATTTATGAGCGTATATGATTGAATCGGTAGGTATGGGGGGGGGGGTTGCACAATTTATCGCTAACGAGATGAAAAACACTGCCGGCACATAGAGCGGAGGCGTGCGAAAGAACGTTATTGGCATGGAGAGCGTGATCGCGCCAAGCATGCGATGCCTCGGTGACTGATGCTAATTAACAGCAGCGGGCAAGGGAAGGGGATAAATTGTAATGGGATAAATTGGTAAAGCGACCCTTGGACTGCTCTTGTGTTTGTAGTCGTCCTACTGTTGGTCCTTACCAGCATGCATTTACGTTCGCTCATGTTACTGAGTCGTCCTTTGCTTCAGCAGTCTCTCCGCAACCAAGAGACCACACCAGAACGAAGAAATAAAAAAAAAACTTACCATACCCCTTCTTCTGTCCTTACTTAGTCTGCGCTTCGTAGAATCGTGACGACTTGATTGTAAAAATCTTCGTCGTACTGCAGTTCATATCCGTCTAATAGAATTTCATTAATATACATATATGCTTGAATTCCACAATGCAGATTAATTAGACTCTGTTCATATTTTTCTTCTCCATTTTCGTATTAATGGTCCCGATAGATCGGCCACGGGATCCGTTCGCTTGTAAAGAAAACGAAGAGAAGCTAAGAAAAAAAAAACGTTGAGTGGCCCACCGTCCGTGGATGAAGCGACGAAACGTTGCGCTTATTCTCGTATTCAAAGGTTGTGTTTCTCGGTCATGCAGCGCCAAGGGGTGGGTGGGATCGGGTGGGGTAGGGGTTTCGGGGGGGGGGGGGGGGGGGGGGGGGTAGGAGGTAGGGGATAGAACCAAAAATAAAAAAAAATAAAAAATAAAGATTGGGGGTGGGGCGGGGGTAAATGAAAGTGTGGGAACGAGTTGTCCTATATGCGAAAGGCGAGCATCATCGTCAAAAGGAGTTAATCGGTGAAATTAATGAATTGATGCACTTGAGAATGAGAAGGTTATAGTGGATGAAGGGGAGTGTGGCGGAGCGCGGGTCGGTGAGAGAGCAACAAAGCTACGCAGCAAACGAGAAATCATGAAGATGCAAGATTAATGGGGAGAGTGGCGACGTATGTAAGATGAGAAAGTGACGATGATGCACGTACGATTAAACAATACATTATCCGTAAGCAGCTGATGGTAGAAATTAATAACCATCCATTAAAAAAATCTACGTAGTTAGGCATAATAAGGACGGATGGTCGCGAGCTTGTACCGTATTTGTGATGGGGCCGTACTTGATTTTGATTGAACGTGGAGCGGAGAAAATGAGGAATGGTATCTGAATATGTACGCGAAATAATATGGTGCAAGACTCATAGTTTGTTATTATGATGATAATACTTATAAATCGTATGAGTATATGATATTGTAGCTGTCGTAATTCGTTAATTCGTTTCTTCGTGTGCCATGCTTTTATTCAACGAAAGAAATGCCATTGTTGCAATTTTTAATCATTCGACGATTCAAGGCACAAATGGACTTTAACCCCATTCTAGAAATCAGTCGGCTCGTATTTAGTTTTAATTAAAAAACGCGATCCCAACAACGTCTTTTATTCTTTGTGAAAAAAAAAAACAAGGATCGACGGAGATGGTTTTACTTCTTAAATGTGGCCAAGCGTAATTCATAAATAAAACGACCGTCAATGGTCGCTTGAGCATTGCTTCCAGTAAAGCGTGGACCTCTCGCTCCCCGCGCCATCTTTATTGAAAATTCAAAATCATTTTAACGCGCGAGGCCAGCAAATTCTTAAAAAACGAATAATCAAACTAATCTCCTTGTATCGTCATTTTTTAATTAAACGTGATAAACATTCATCGATTTAGCTCTGCGGCGTAAAATTCATGGTGTCTAGTGTTAAATATCGGATATAACCAGAAAAAAAAAAATTGATAAAGATAAATTAAATCATATTATAACGGAAAATAAATAAATAAATAATTAAATAATTAAATAAATAAATAAGATAAATCGAATGACAGGCTAAGGATAAACTAAAGTAATACGGTTATAGTGGGAAAAAGAAGTAACATACATCGCTTTCTTTCATCATTAAATGGAACTATTAAAGCAGCAGCTTATGTAATAAATAATAGTATTTAAATAAAAAGTAAACAAAACAAACAAAAAACAAAAAAAAAACAAAAAAAAAAGAACATTAATTAAATAAAGAATAAACTGATATACCGATCTCCTCTATGAATAACTAATTGACGAGGGAAGAAAAACGTATAAGATAAATCTGTAGGAAGCGGCTTTTTGCGTGAATGTGCATTTCCTTTTGTGACTCTACGTTATTGCACAATGCAATAAATAAAGTCTATGTAAAGCGTATCAAAGTTGTGATTAGCGAGTGCATGCGCGTGTGCGTGGATTTGCATGGGGCGAGCTCGTGTGTGTGCGCGCGCACGTGTACTACATGTATGGTTGAATCCCCAAGAGGGAGGTAGGGATCGGAATGTGTAATGATGACATATTCTTGTGAAAGAAAAGAAATGCTTGTTTCGTTAGAAAAAGAATAATAATAATAATAATAATAATAATAATAATAATAATAATAATAATAATAATAAAAGAAAAACGCGGCAATGAAGTACGAGCAGCCGTAAATAGAATCAATCGAATGGGTACTCTGATATATGCATCATATGCTTGAATTATCATATTAACGCGCCACCTTATTAATAAAATCTATTCACAAGACGTAAAAACATGATGCTGCTATTAAGAATTAACGTTAAAAAGTATAATAACGTAATATAAAGGCCCGTGAAGGAGTATGAAAGCATGAATTTCAGAATTTCATTGACGTAAACCTGTAATAATTCGTAAAAGTACAGCTCGTGGAAGTCGCTTAATGCATAAGTATGTCTTTGTTATTTGTTAATTTTGCTTTATGAAACACAGCTATTTGTTTTGTCAATTGTTAATATACGTATGATTATGTATTATTATTTATTTTTATGTGTATTAAAAAGTGAATTAATACTCGCGTATCATTGCTAACAATGTTCGATTTGCCTATGTATCGTACACAATAGAAGAGAAAAATTTTTTCTTATACTCTCTGTAATAACGCAGTGTGATTACTTTGTTTTTATACCAAAGTTGTAATATCTAATTTGAAGTTAAATAAACAACAATTTAAATCCAATCAGCTTGAGGACTCATTTTTATTGTCAGCACCTTTCCTACAATCTTCGAGAAGTCTTTGCAATGTTGGTATACTGTCACTTATACATATATCCATGAGTTCTAAAGAAGTATGACAGGGATTAAACCCAGAAACATAATGGTGTATATACTAAAATAGAATTTTTGTTTTTTTTTTTTTTTTTTTTTTTTTTAGCGTAAACCGCAGTATTATTATATATATTTTATATACTTGCGATTCATTCATAAAATACAATTTAATTTGCTTCGTTCAGCTATCATTTTGTCGTATCATCAGATAAGTATTTAATAAAAGCAGGCTTAAACTTTTGATTACACTATTGCGCACTATCAGCTACTAAATACGTACAAAAAGTATTAAATCTATGATTGAAGAAGACGATAGAAGGGTGGTGTTTGGGGTAGGGGAGTGGGGTTTTAGGGTGGGGGGAGGGGGGAGGGGGGTGTAAAGCGGAGGAGGAAGGGAACAGATAAATAATGTATAATCGGCCGTAATTGGTATGATTATATTATATACACAATGTATCTGATGAAGAGTTGACTGTCGGAGATCCGGCATTGAATCTTGAATTTGCCAATAGACTCCGAAACTGAATGAAAGTAAATTTTCCAGTAGGAAATTCTTTTTATTAATTGTCAATTTATCTAATTAAAATTCTCTTATAGTCGAAGGAAAGTTTATCAGACGTATATTACTAATTAATGGAAGAGTTAGTCAATCGATTGTACATAATGCTTTCAATGTTAATATAAATAGAAAAGAACATTGTCGAATGTTCGACGATTACAAAGAGTGTGAATTATCTTTATCACAATGTTACGATGCCGAGTGAGTACAAGCATTACAAGTGATTACACGGTCCGCGTCATTCGGCAACTCTGGTGTCAACGGGGCAACTTTTCGTTTTAGTTTTCGTTTGCGCTTGCGTTATCGTTATCCTTATCGTTTAGCGTTATCGTTTTCGTTAACGTTTTCCTTTACATTTGGGCCGCGTCACGTCCATTATGTCGGCGCTAATCCAAGAATAAATCGTCGCATCTCTCGAATATATTTGGCCACGGCAGTGACGGAGCCTCCCGTAATGAAAAAAAGATTAAAGGTAAGTCCAAGTCTCGGGCACATTGGTCCTCGTCCGCGAGGGCAAGCCGAGAGTCGCGTAAATAATGTAAGCCGACCATCAGACCGCAATGTATCAGTGAATAAATCAAGCACTTCCCAGAGTCGGAATCGGTCCCAATTAATGAGAATTGGCACGCTGAGTATATGGACATTAATAAATAATGAGGGCGTATAGTGATGGTGCACGTAGGATAGCTTGGGCAATAGGCGCCGGCCATCTCATTCGATGCGATGTGCGTGTTTGTTCATCAATGAAGTGCTTACATACTTGACAGTGGTAAATATATAATTTTTATTATCATTATCATCATTATCATCATCGTCGTCGTCGTCGTCGTCATCGATGAATCAGTCAATCATTAATAATAGTTAATCGAATATCGTTAGTCATTATAATTAATCATTTATAATTATCATCATCATAATCTTTATCGTCGTCATCTTTATTACTATTACTATTCGTCGTCGTCGTCGTCGTCGTCGTCGTCGTTGTCGTCGTCGTCGTCGTCGTCGTCGTCGTCGTCGTCGTCGTCGTCGTCGTCGTCGTTGTCGTCGTCATCAACATTATTATTATTATTTATGTATTAATTATTATTATTTATTTATTATTTATTTATTTATTTATTTATTATTATTATTATTATTATTATTATTATTATTATTGTTATTATTGTTATTATTATTATTATTGTTATTATTATTATTATTTTCGAGATTTATTTTTATTCGTTTCTCTCGCTCGACATTTAACATCAGTATAAAAGTATTAGCCAAGTTTGTTTTTATAAAGTTCGCATTAGAATGTAGTTAGTTACAAGATTTATCGGAGTTGTGATAAGTGCCGCTCGCCTCGCCGGTTGGGGCGAGTTGCAGCGATAAGTCGATGAGGATGCGACGGGCGCTGCGTCGCCGATGACGAGTGGACCATGTTTCGTTTACGAGGTTTTTGACGACCTGGA